CTTGTAAATGCTAGGCAAACACTCTACCATTGAGCTACACCCCCAGCCCAATCTTGTGTGTTTGAATCTGCTGTGAAATTATGCTGGTAAAGTTTGAGTTGTTTCTAAAGTGTTGCAGGACCCTGATGTAAACCTAGAATTGTGACCTCATTGCAAGCATGAGCAGGTACTAGGGGAGGCATGAGCAGGAAGCTGTGACTAGGAAAGAAGTTTCTGGGCTCAGTAGAAAATGTAGGTAGACTTAGGGTTAGGTTGTAGCTGTCAGGAACTTGTTCCTGCCAATGAGATCCTGAAGGGCCCTTCATTTTAACTATCACCAGACAGTTCAAACTTGTTTCTTCCTCTGTGTCAGCTAGCAAGAGGTGCTTAGGGGACAGTGTCCAATGGGACCTCACTGCCCAGCAGAACAATAGGGGAGCCAAGTAGGCTAGGTCTACTGTGGACTACCTGTATGCCTGCCTATCTTCCTTCCTCCTCACCTCACATCACTGATATATATCATTGGCTTGGAAATCAGAAACCCATATCCATCTAGATGGTAAACCATTATTAAGGAATAAATATTTGTTTTATAGCTATAAGTACTTAGTGGAACTTAAGGTTGGTAAAAATCTAAATCTAGGGGTAATTTGGTTGCAGAGATGTTTGTTTTTTTTTAATATTTTTAGTTGTAGATGGACACAATATCTTTATTTTATTTATTTATTTTTATGTTTTGCTGAGAATTGAACCCAGCGCCTCACACATGCTAGGCAAGTGCTCTACTACTGAGACACAACTCCAACCCCCAAAGATGTATTTGGATTGAACATTATGTTGATTTACTGAAACTCTTGTTCCTTTCAGATTGATTTTGATGATGTGGCTGCAATAAACCCAGAACTCTTACAGCTTTTCCCCTTACACCTAAAGGACAACCTGCCCTTGCAGGAAAATGTAACAGTCCAGGTAGGTGCCTATCATCTAACTGTAGCTAATGTCGTAGAGAAGTCACTTCACTTAGTAGCTCTTGGCTCATTTGTTTTCTGGGACTGCCTGGGACTTCAACAGCATGTGGGCCCAGGATATGTCCTTGAGAATTGTTAAAAGCAATATATTGTGGTCATTTGTTTTTCAGAAACAAAAACGCAGATCAGTCAACTCCAAAATTCCTGCTCCAAAAGAAGGTAAATTGATTTCTAATATTTTAATGGCATTTGTGTTAAGATTAATGTGCCTGGGGCACAGACTAGTAGAAATTGTAAAGTAGATTCATTGCTTTAGTTTAGCAGATGGCTTTATGTGACCTGTGTTTCATACATCTTTCTCAGTGAGGAAGATTTCCATCTATAGCCAACCGTAAATGACTGGTGCAACTGAAAAATTTACTTACTTGTGTTCATCTCGTCAGTGCAGGTAACTGGCGAGACTTACTGGCTTAGATATCTTTTCTGTAGAATCCAGAGCCTGTGTTGGGGATGGTAGGAATCAGCCACTGGAAGGGTTAAGGTTAGGGTTAGGGCTCATCTTCCTCTGAGGAATAGTGTGTCTTGGAATGAGGCTCTGAGAAAAGGTCTGGGTTGTTTGGAAATGCAGTTAAGCCAGATATAGTGGCTCACATCTATAATTCCAGCTACTCAGGAAACTGCAAGTTCCAAGTCAGCCTTGGCAACTTAGCAAGACCTGGGGATATAGCTCAATAGAGCACTTGCCTAGTGCATTCATGGCTCTGGATTTAATCTCTAGTACTGTAAAAAAGTGATGATAATAATAAATTAAAAAATAAAAAGGCTAAGGATGTGACTCTGCTTGCCTAGCATATGAGGGGCCCCAGTACTGAAGAAGAAAAAAAGGAAAAAGAAGTGCAGTCAATAATG